CTATTATTGTTCATAGGGTCACTATGAGTCAGACTCAACAGCACTTAACAATACCACCAATGGCTAACAATGGGATGATAGGCAACATCATGATAGATGGAGAAAAGAATGAAATTGTCAGTGATTTCATCTTATTTGGATGGCAATCAACACCCTTGGTGCCAGCAATTAAGTAATCAAAAGACACTGCTTTGGTCAAGTCTGCCGTCAGGGACCACGCCAAAGCTCTGAGGAACAACGAAGTCAGGTGCACCTGATTCAAGTCATGGTCTTTCCAATCACTTTCTGTGTATCTGAGAGGTGGACAATGGATGATAGAATAAGAATTGATTCCTTTGAACTGAAAATCCCATGGACTGCCAAAAGAACAAGTAAGTATGTCCTGGAGAAAGTGCAGCCAGTGTGCTTCTTAGAGGGACAGATGACAAAGCTTCCTCTCACACATTTTGGGCATTTTGTTAGGAGAGGCTGAATTCCTTGGAGGAGGACATCATGCTGGGAAAAGTGGAGGGTCAGCTAAAAACAGATCCTTAACACGATGGAGTGACACAGTGACTGTGGCAACGGGCTCAAGTATGACAGATGATGAAGATGGCACAGGACAGGACAGGGTTCAGATCGGTTGATCACAGGATTGCTATGGGTTATACTCGACTCAATGGTACTGAACAACAACAAACAACAATAACAACAACAATGGCTAATGACAGAGAGCATTTCTTTTCTTTTGGTGAGAAAAATTTATTACATTTAAAATTAGCCTGCTGGACTCAGTTTAGATGGTCCCAATTTTGTTGGCAACATCCAAAGCATCATAATCAGGAGCAAGTCAAACATAGGCCTTCTTCTCTCCATCAGGCCTAATCAAAGTGTTGACCTTATCCACATCAATGTCATAGAGCTTCTTTACAGCTTGTTTAATTTGGTGCTTATTGGCCTTGACATCCACAATGAACACAAGTGTGTTGTTATCTTCTATCTTCTTCATAGCTGACTCAGTGGTCAGGGGAAATTTGATGATGGCATAGTGGTCAAGCTTGTTTCTCCTGGGAGCGCTCTTCCGGGGGTATTTGGGCTGCCGTCGGAGTCTCAGCGTCTTACGCCGCAGGAACGTGGGTGACATGCAGATCTTCTTTTTTTTTTGGCTGTGGATGCCCTTCAGGACTGCCTTTTTGGCCTTCAATGCCTTTGCTTTGGCTTCAGTTTTGGGAGGGGCAGGGGCTTTCTTCTTCGCTTTCGGCGCCATCTTCATAGAAAGCCACAGAGAGCATTTCTTCATGGACGTATTGGTTGCCTAAATATATATGGTGAAATGCCTTTTTATGCCTCTGCCTAATTTCAATTGAACTGTCTGTCTTACTGTTGCTTGGTACCGAAGCTTTCTAAACATTCTAAAGATTAGTCCTTTGTTATGTCGTTGCGAAAGACCTTTCCTAATCTCTGAGTTCTCCTTTTACTCTTATGCAGGAGTCTTTTGATGCATATTGTTATTATCAGATGTCATCGGAGCAGCTCCCACTCATAGCAACTTTATGTACAACAGAACCAACCCGCACCCAGTCCTACAGCATCCTCACGATCTCTGCTGTGTGTAAGCACACTGTTGAATCCACTGTGTCAGTCTCATTCAAAGTCTTCTTTTTCACTGACATTTTACTTTTCCAAGCATGCCAGGAACTGGCCCCTTCTGATAACATGTCAAAAGCAAGTGAGATGAAATCTCACCATCTTTGCTCCTGAAGTTCAGCACTGTGTGTGAACTTCTAAGACAGATTTGCTTGATTCAATAGTCTTCACCAACAGCACAATTAAGAGGCATTGATTCTTCTTTGGTCTCCTTTAATCACTGTTCAACTTTCACATGAATATGAAGCAACTGAAAATGTCATGGTGTGGATCAGAGAGCTGGTTTCTTTTTTTGTGTGTAGTACTTACTTTAATTTCATGACATTTATTGGATGGTATTGAAGACTCTAAACTTTCAGAGTGCTCTATTAATTTGCCAATCTTATCTCCTCTTATTTTTCTTTTATTTGTTACACATCTACTTCCCCCTTCCCTCCTCCACGTCACCCTGCATTCTTCTCTCACCTGTTCTAAAGCAGTGTTCATTATCTGTCCTCTCTTTTCTCGTTCCCTCCACCAACCCTCCCTTGCCTGTTCTATTTTATAACAGCGATGTTATGCAGTATTTGTCCTTTTGTGACTGATACTCAGTCTGATGTCCTCAAAGTTCCCCCATGTGTGTAATGTTTTACTATTTCATTGTTTTTCTATGCTGTGTAGTATTTCATTGTGTGGATGCACCATAGTTTTTCTATGCATCCGTTTATTGATGGGCGCTTGGGTTGCTTCTATCTCTTTGCTACTGTGAAATGCAGCAATAAACATGGGTGTGCATACATCTATTTGAGTTATGTCTACGATTTCTTTAGGGTATATTCCCAGTATGAAATTACTGGCTCAAGTGGTATTTCTATTTCCAGCTTTATGAGAAAGTGCCAGACTGCCTTCCATAGTGGTTATACCATGTTATCTTTCCACCTGCAGTGAATAAGTTTCCTACCTCTCCACAACCTTGCCATCATTTATTGTTTGCTGCTTAGTTTCTTGATGGTTGCATCTTTGGGTGTTGATTTAGGCCAAAGTAAAGTGAAATCCTTGACAACTTCAGTATTTTCTCCTTCTATCCTAATGTTATACAAGTTTTTAGGTTTTTCGTTCACAGGGTCACTATGAGTCATCTGCGACTCGACGGCACTTAGGAACAACAATAACAACAACAACAACACAGAGAGAGCTAAGTTGGCCTAGTGGACAGAAAGTTATGCTACCAGGCCCTAGGTGGGTGATTTTAATCTGCGGCCCTCAGGCCTGGTTTTAATTGTTTTTGGTCAAACCTTCTTCTAAGTGACATAGCACCGGTCTGTCCATTTGTTGTACAGAGATAACTCATGGTTGCTGTGATGCTGAACACTGTGACACTGATGTGTCAAATGCATTAATGATTACCCATGGTGGACAGTGTTTGGTGGAGCTCCCCAATTAAAACAAGCTTGGAAGCAGGAGTGGCATCCACTTCCAAAATAGCTTGCCTCCAGAAACCCTATGAACTTGAGAAACGAGGAAAGTTATCATAGGGTCACTATGAGTTGTCTATGACTTGATGGCACTTAACAACAACAACAACATCCTGATGTTATTTATTGATTCAGTTGTGAGGATTTGTTTTCTTTATGTTGTAGTGTAATACATATTGAACTCTAGAGACTTTGAGGTTCATTAGTAAATGCTTCAGTTTTCTTTCTTTGTTTTCTACCAGCAAGGCTGTATCATCTGTGTTGTTGATGAGTTCTTTCCAATCCTGATGACACATTCTTCTTATAAAGTCAAGATTCTTCGATTATCTGTTCAGTATACATATAAAGGGAGTTCTGGTCATGTAGTCTGTAGGGAGTTGAATGGCTAACCCAAAGGGCACATCTCACTGGAGGTTTGAATACATCATCTGTTCTTCAGGAGAGAGATGGACAATTTCTAAGTCGATGGCAAAAATTTGAGGGGTTTTTTGATACATATTAAATAGGTATGGACTACCATGGGTAACTGTTGGTATTTAAAATATCAATGATATTGCTCCTGCACACAGCAACATACAGAGCTAACACAATACAACAAACAGATAGAGGAGAGGTGGTTGATGCATATAAGAATTTAATTTTTAGAAGGTCCCATTGGTCTAAAATAACTTCTACTGTTTGGTCCAGATTTCCTTCAACACTTGATAAGGAGATGGAATAACTGACTGCTAACTTTACATGGCAAGGGACCCCTGATTAGAATAGCAGAATAAAGTAGTTCTCACACTCCCTGATTTCAAGACCTATGCTATATCCATGGGAGTAGAAATAACTCAGTACAATGACAGACATGGACCAATGAAACAGAACTGGAAACCAGATGGGACATCTCATCCACTTGTGGGCAGCTAATCTTTGACAAAGGGCTAAAATGCTAAATGGGGAAGAGACAGTCTCTTTGATAAATGGTGCTAGTAAAACTGGGAATCTATTTGCATAAAAAGAAACCAAGATCATGACACCTCACACTATACAAAAAAACTAACCAAAGATGGATCAAAGGCCTAAATGTAAGATCTAAAACTTAAAAGTTTTAACTTACAGAAAGATCATCAAAGAAGGAAATAGGGGTGAACTTCGGGATCATTATTGATGGTATAAATAAACTGTCAGTCACAATTAAGAATACACAAACAGGGGCAGTAATGTACTTGTAAGGATTAAATGTTATAATTAAGTTAAATTCATTTAAATGAGACAATGAAGGTAGTAAATGCATTCAATATGACTTAGGGAACATGAGATTTTTTTTCAAAACGCAATATTTTTGCTACAGCTGTACTGTACTTCTATTTGTAACCCAGCTTGGGTTTTGAAGTATGTAGTATGAAAACAAGATGCCCCATTCAATTAAAAAATATAAGGCAGAGTGAAACCAAACACAGAACTTAGGGGCTTCTAATTTTTTCCTGCCAAGTCTCCTTGGTTTTGATTAATAATAAAAACCTTCTTTTATCAGAAATAGTAGAAGATGCTCAATCTTCACCACCTTCACACCATGCCACCCCAATGTTAACCCTTCTTCACAAATCACTGCCAGTCCTTGCCTTCTCCCTCATTTTCTCAGAATATCCTCTAGGATTTTTGTGTGTGGATTTTTTTTGCCCCTTCATTTCACCAACCCCCTATCTTCAGACCTTTAGGCTCCCCACAAAACCCACAAAGGATCACTTGGTTTCCCTTTGGAAACAGAAAGTATTGTATTTTTGGACAAATCCCAAATAGACCCTTCTCCAAATGCCAACTTCTTTCCTCTTGGTTTTCTTCCTCCCTAATGGTTTTATTGTCTGCGAGTCAGATCTCACTGAGAAACTGTGGTTCACAGCGGGCTGAGCTGGCTTTCAGAGCCCCAGGACGTACCTGGCTGCTTTCTGTGTGAGCTCCAGCGGGAAGTCCGGGCACAGCAACTGCAGCAAACAGTGATATTCTTTCATGGTCAGCAAATCTGAGGTGGAAATGGAGAGAACAGGTAAGGTCTCTGCATATCAAGTTGATTTTCTCTTTCTGATGATCTCATGGGTTTAAAACGTGGCCTCTATAATTAACAGTTCAGTATTTAAGGTATACCAGCCAAAGCTCCTAGGAGGAGAGTTTAACATCAGTATTTTTATGAAGCTTTTCCTAGGTGGGAAGAACCCAGCCTGCAACAGTTTGGCCAACTGTTCCACTGACATGAGAAGTAGTTGAGTGTTGGATTAGCCAATAAGCAAGCCAAGCACAGCTACTGAATCTCACATTTTTCACCATATCAAAGATTCTGCTTCAAGGTGTGGTAGGCATTTGTGTCTCTCCCAATCCTCTAGTATCCCCTATATAGAATCAAAGCCTCTTTGATTCCTGATGGATGGAGTACCCAGTTGTTGTTGTTGTTGTTGTTATGTGCCGTCTAGTCGTTTCCGACTCATAGCGACCCTATGCACAACAGCCCTAAACCCTGCTCTGTCCTGCGCCAAACGCACCGCCTCTGACACACCCATCCCGATTACCCCAGTCACTGAATCAATCCATCTCATAGAGGGTCTTCCCCTCCTGCATTGTCCCTCAACCCTCCCAAGCATGATGTCCCTCTCCAAGGACCCGTCCCTCCTGGCAACATGTCCAAATTATGTCAGACGAAGCCCCAGAATCCTTGCCTCCAAGGAGTAGCTTGGTTTAATCCTCTCCAAGATAAATCCGTTTGTTTTCCTGGCAGTCCAGGGTACATTCAGTACCCTTCTCCAGCACCATAGCTCAAAAGCATCCACTCTCCTTCTGTCCTCCCTAGTCATTGTCCAACTCTCTGATGCATAACAAGCGATTGCAAATACCATGGCCTGTATCAGGCGCACCTTAGTCTCCAGAGAGACACTGTTGCTCCTGGTAAACACAGGCTTACCTGTGCTTACTTGTTAATCTGTGGTGAAGAGTTCCACGTGGGGTTGACCATATGATGCGGTAAAAAACATGTAACACTGTTCACTATAGACTAATAAGTAAGCACAAAGTAAGCCCATGCTCACCTTGGGGTTTTGGGTAATCTAGTGCTGTTACCTGGGCAGACTCAGTCTTGTAATGTACAGAGCAGAGTCTAGAGCAGCAACTCAAAGGCCTTATTCTTCTATCATCCAGTACTGCAATAGCCTGCCTTCTTCCAGATGCCAGAAAACAAATCTGGCCATTTTTTGATAGGAAGCCAAGGGCAAAGGTCCAGAGTGTACAATCAAGACAACTAAACCATTCCTGATGTATAGAAGCTGTGCTTTGGGAGAAACAAGCTAGAACAAGGCTCTGGGGCCCAGCAGAAAATGCAGAGACTCCAATCTCAGGGCTGTTTAAAGTATCCCAAGGGAGAGGAAATACACTGATGGTTAAAAGTTGTTTTGTTATTCCAAATATTAAAAGACGAAGGATTCCGGATCACCCCAGCAGTAGCGTTCTATATACCATAGTTTTTCAAACATGGAAAGACACGGTGATCATAAAGCAACTATAAGAAACCTCGAAGCCATCCTAACTGGGAGGAGACGGTTGAGAGAAGGGGATCCAGAGGGCATGGCCACACTTAGAGAATGAAGATGGTGATCAGAAGCACGTGGTGTCTTTGGACCTAAGTTAACCCATGCCACAGGAATCCAGATCTCTTGGCCCTGCTAGTTTGGTTGATGCTTTTCCAAGACAAAAACCCCAAATCCCAAGGCGCAGGCCTGTGTTTCTACTGCTTTTTCATCAAAGCCCAATTCAAGGTGGGGGCAGAGAGTTAGACTAACCGCACTGCCAAAGTCAGGGACACCAAAGGAACAGACTTAGCATCAACACAGGTCAAAGGATCAAGATGGTTTTTGTGGCCTTTGTCTTGGCCACAGTGGGGTGTGCACTTTCCTATCCTTACTTGCCTGACCTTGGATAGCTTGGCAGAAGGTTCTGTTCTTCAACGAAAGGAGTCACAGCTACTCATGGTCTCACAGATGTGGGGTGAGGGATAGTGACGCGAAAGAAAGAAGTTAACCTAGCACGTTCTCACCTCAACCTCACTTCAGAAGTTCCCAAATATCAAGAGAAGGGAAAATGACCAGGATGAATAGTCCTGTCTTTGAATTGTCAGTCTTTTCAAGATTAAACTTTGGTGGAGATACCTCTTACCATTATTCATAATGTCTCACAGGAATTCACACTCATCTCTCACATTACTCACATGTACTCTGGGGGAGAATGGAGTGGAGGAAGATGAACAATCTCGAGAATTGAGTAACCCCTCGTGCACTCAAGAAACAAATGGCTGGGACTCAAATTAGCCCTTCTGGTGCTCAGCTCCCAGTCCCTTTTTGGGTTTTGGATATTAGCCTGAGTCCTAAATACTTGTATCCCAAGAAAGTACTTTACAATGATCATCTTGTATTCTCTGCAACACAAAAATGCTGAAAACAGAAGGTATCTCGCCCACCACTTCTGAAACTTGATTCTTCAAAGTATAAAGTGAGAAGGGGGTCAGAGAAGAAGACTAATGTGAGTGCTGTTGTTCTTGCTGAGTCCCACTGAACCGGAGCTGACTCATAGCTGACCCTCTGGTAGGTATTCAGGGGCAGTTAACCACAAGGGAGGAGACTGTCCGTCCTTCTACCTTGGAGCAGCTGGTAGCCTCGAACCATGTGGCTTCAGGATTGCTGTTCAGCTTCTTGCCAGCAGGCCACCAGAGCTCCCTAATGAGAGTGCAGGCAAAGAAAGAATTTGTACTACCTTAATTATGCACAATAGCAATTCTACTAAAGTAGTGGTCAGATAATATGAATAGTGATTTCCAGGGAGTGGCACTTGGAGACTCTCCTTGTGTGGTGTACAGAGGGTTATTTGGGAGAAAAGCAAATGGGAAGACTTGTTTCAACATCCAGAACAATAATGAACAAATGGGAGCTTTTCCCTACCTCCAAGATCAGAGTTCAAATCTTGGCTCTGCATTTCACTAGGTATGTAACTTCAGGTGAGACAAAGATTCTCACCACTGGACCAAAAGACAACATTATGACAGCTAGAGAAAAGACTGAAATTGTCAATTTCTTCCTACTTGGATCCACAATCAATACATTTGGTACCAGTAGTCAGGAAATCAGGAGATGTATTGCCCTGGGAGTCTGTAGTCAGGGACCTCTCCAAATTACTGAGGAGCGATGATGTTAGCTTGAGGACTAAGATGCATCTGACTCAGGCCACGGTCTTTTCAATCACTTGCTATGCATCTGAGAGCTGGATAATAAATAAGGATGACAGAAGAAAAATAGATGCCTTTGAATTGTGGTGCTGGAGCAGAGTACTGAGTAGCTCATGGACTGCCAAAAGAACAAAAAGGTATAATTTGGAGAAGATGAAGTCACAGTACTTCTTGGAGGCAAAGAAGGCAAAGCTTCATCTTGCATACTTTGGGCATGTTGCTAGGAGAGGCTACTCCTTGACGAAGGACATCATGTTTGGAAAGGTGGAGGGTCAGTGAAGGAGGGCAAGACCCTCACCCAGGTGGACTGCCACAGTAACTGCAGCAATGGACTCGAGTGTGCCAAGAGAGTGTGAGGCTGGCACAGGCTAGGCCAGGGTTCAGATCTGCTGTTCACAGGGTGCCTATGAATCATACTCGACTCAACAGCACCTCACAACATTAGGCAAATCGTTCAATTTCTTGAAATATCAGTTTCTTGTCTGTAAAATGGAACTAAAATATTTACTTTTTAGGGTTGAGGTCAAGATCAAAAACATTCTTTTCCCTGAGGTACTTTGTGGGCATAGGAGTCAGTGTAAAGTAGTCAAATGAACGCCTAAAACACACTGACTCCAAACAATGGGAGTGGTCGGGTTTCAAATCCTGATGGTAAAGAGAGAAGAGGAGGAAGGGGGTTTTGGTTGTTGGAAAGACCTAGAAGTGTTCAGTCTTGAAAATTCTGTCATGTTACCAGAGCCAAACTCGTTTCTGAAACCTTGCTGCAATATCCGTTCATCCACCCATCTAGTCAGCCTATTCAGTGTTACTGTGTGCTCCCTCTGACCAAGGGACAGCAGTGACACTGATGGACAAGCCAGCAGTTGGAGCATAGACTCAGCCACTAACAGAAAGGATCCTGTCTACTTCAGGCCTTTGGCTCTGACATTTCTTCAAGGCCTTTCCCCAGGCAATTCTTTGGTGCTTCAGAACAACACTGATGGGAGTAAATGGTCATTGAGCTCTGTGCTTACATTTGACTTGAATCCCCTCTGCACCTTCACAAGTGTAGGAAGTTTATCCCTTTATCCCAGCCCAATTTTTTCCCAGCTAATGACATGAAGGCTTTGAGAGATGAAATACCCTGGTGTGTGAAGAGAGGAGGGTCTGGAGCCGGAGGGATAAGAAGGGAATTTCTCTTTTCAGAGCAAGATCTCAGGGAGGGAGGAAGGGGCTGAGGGCCAGGAGCTCAATAATAGTGATACCAACAGCTGACATTCACTGAGCACTTCAAGGGTCTTACACGTTTACCTTGTCTGATACTCACTACTGTCATCCTCATTTCATAGCTATAGAAACTCAGATTGTGCATACTTAAGAGGTACAAACGGAACTCAGATATAGGCAGTCTGACTCCAAAGCTTACTCCACTAACATTATCAGCACCTTGATTTTATCATCCATAATGTGCGAAGGCTTAAGAGTTTGACCCCATATTCACTGCTCCTACAAACTGCAGGAACAAAACAGCTCCAGGTGAACCGGATCAAGGAGACAAGCGAATTAGATTTTTTTTTCATGTAAGAAATTGAGCCCGAAAGGGTATAATTATGTCAACAGCAAAGACTGTCGTTCCAATGCCAACAGACTGAGCTGAGCTGGAGGACCTGACAGAACAAGTCCACCTGTGCTGGGGCTCTATCGCCATCTCTCTCACCACTCCCCTCACTGCTCTGCAATCCTAGCAGGTGCAGGGAACATAAGTGTTGTACATCAACGGACAG